AATTTTACTATTGATTATTTTGTCAAAACATACTTACCTACAGTTTACTAAATAAGAGTAATTTAGAGGCACTGATGATACAAAATAAATGAGAATATCTTCATGGAATTTGTATTTATTGTGACTGTTTTGTACATGAGCCTTCAAAAAATGTTGAATAGAACTGAGAAACAACTAGAACTGGGTAAACGACTTCCTTTACTATCTCAATGTAGAAAAACTACATTAATAACTTAGCTTTCTATTTTCTTTTTTTTTCACTTGATTTGTTAGATGGAGTTATGGTTCTATGATCCCCCAAGTTTAATCTCCCAATCTACATTCCCAATGGATATTACTGATTTCAGGTCACTGCTTTTTAGTTATTAAGTCTGTAGCCTCCAGGTACAAAAGGGTAATGCTCAGTGTCCCATTATTTGCATTCCAAATAATAGAGGAAGATTCTTTTGTGTGTGAAAGTTTTATGTTAATATGAAAAAGGGAAAAGAATAAGGACCTGGTAAATTGTTTAACAAAATATAAAACAACCACAAAACCGGACTCATCAAAATCCAAAACTGAATATGAATCTCTACATGTATATTTACTTAAACTTTTCAATAGCAGGTATATAAAAAATTCCCCCCCCTCAAAAATGTCATCTAAAATTTCTATTCACTCTGTGAATATAATAAAAATACATGTAGGATAAAAATCATCTGTACAGTAAATATTAGATGTAACCCAATATAATTTATTTTACAACCACCATCTTTCAAAGTTCATTTTCTTGTGTAGAAGAGTGATTCTACAGGAAAAAGAAAAATCCCAAAGGATTTGCATATGCCAGTCATTTTGAGGCAAAACCCAGAAAATGATTGTATATATCTTATGATATATATGTTCTAAAAATAAGAAAGGATAATGAACATATATTAGTTTTCTCAGCTTTTCTTAGTAAATTTTTTTATTTCTTAGATACACAGTTTATGTTCTTAAAAAATAGTAAGTTTGTACATTATAAGGGAAATAAATGTGATCTTTGTGGTCTTTTAGGTGATATCAGTCAAAAGGGATTGTATGGCTTGGAAGGCTTGAACTCTCCTAGATTAGTCTACAGGCAATGAGCACAAAATTTTTCTTTTTTTAAAAATCATTTTACTGCAAAATATGGATATAGGAGCCTCTTCCATCATTGATGTCCTTTAAGTCATAATTTAAATGAGTCTGTTATAGTTTTAATAGGTGTGTCCTTTTTGAATTTGTCGTAATTTATACATTTTCACATACTGCCACTATTCACACTTTGTTATCTTTAATAGCTAAAATGTATTCTATAATTTGCAGTTCTCCAATATTCTTTGATTGGTGCTAGGAATTCATGTAACAAAGCAGAAACTGGCTTATTTTACTTAGCATAATACTCTCCAGGTACATCCATGCTGTTGCAAAGGGTAAGAATTTCTTCCTTTTGGTGGCTGAACAGAATTCTACTGTGGAAATGTACCAGACTTTTTTATCCACTCATCTACCGATAGGCACTTGGGCTACTTCCAAACCTTGGTTATTGTAAAAACACTGCAATAAACATGGAGTTGCATATATTCTTTTGAATTAGTGTTTCGAGTTTCTTGAGATGAATTCCCGGAAGTAAAATCACTAGGACATGAGGCAGTTCCATTTATAATTATTTGAGGTAACTCCATACTGCTTTCCACAATGGCTGCACCAATTTGCATTCCACTAACAGTACATGAGAGTTCCCTTTTCTCCACATCTGTGCCAACACTTGTTTGTTATTGATGGTTGTCATTCTGGCAGGTGTAAAGTGGTATCTCGTGGTTTTAATTTGAAATTCTCTGATGATTAGTGATGTTGAACATGTTTTTATATGTCTATTGGCCATCTGTATGTCCTCTTTGGGGAATGTCTGTTCAGGTATTTTGCTCATTTTTAATTGAATTGTTTATTATTTTGGTGTTGAGTTTTGTAAGGTTTTTATTAATTTTGGATATTCACCTCTTATCAGAATTATTGGCAAATATGTTCTCCAATGTAGTAGTCTGTCTTTTCGTTTTGTCGATAGTTTCCTTTGCTGTACAAAATCTTTTAGTTTGATGTAGTACCATTTGTTTTTTTCTTTCGTTTTTCTTGCCTGAGCAGGTATATCAGAAAAAAATATCTTTATGAGATATATTTGAGATTTTACTGCCTATGTTTTCTTTGATTTTTAAAAGTTTTATTGTCTCAAGTCTAACATGTAAGCCTTTAATTCATTTTGAGTTTATTCTTGTGTATGGTGTAAAAAGGTAGCCTAGTTTCATTTTTTTGTATGTATCCAATTTTCTCAACATTATTTATTGAATAGACTGTCTTTGCTCCATTGTTTGTTCTTGTCTATTTTGTCAAATATTAATTGACCATAAAGTTGTGGGTTTATTTATGGGCTCTCTATTCTGTTCCATTGATTTATATGTCTGTTTTTATGCTAATACCATGCTGTTTTGGTTACTATGGCCTTGTAGTATGTTTTGATATCAGGGAGCGTAATTTCTCCAATTTTCTTCTTCTTTCTTAACATTTGTGACTATTCAGGCTCTTTTATGTGTTCCATATACATTTTTTGGAATATTTGTAGTTGTTCTGCAAAATATCCCATTGGTATCTTGATTGGTAATTGCACTGAATCTATAGATTGCTTTGGGCAGTATGGACATTTTAATGATGTTATTTCTTTCTATCCATGAACACAGTATATGCTTCTACTTATTTGTATCTTCAGTTTATTTCTTCAGTGTCTTAAAATTTTCTGAGTACAGGTGTTTTACATCCTTGGTTAAATTTATTCCTAGGTATTTATTACATTTGAAGCAATTGTGAATGGGATTGTTTTCTTAGTTTCCCTTTCAGATAGTTCATCATTGGTGTTTAAACATGTAATTAATTTCTGGATATTTATTTTGTATCCTGTTTATCTACTAGATTCAATTCTAGTAAGTTTTTGGTGGAGCCTTTAAGATTCACTATATACAGTATTCCCCTGCAATTAATGACAGTTTTACTTCTTCCTTTCCAATTTGGACACCTTTTACTTCTTGTCTGATTGCTGTGGCTAAGGCTTCAACTACTATGTTGAATAAGATGATAAAATCAGACAACCCTGTCTTGTTCCTGATCTCAGGGGAACACTTGCAGTTTTTGCCCATTGAGTATGATATGGGCTGTGAGTTTGTAATATATGGCCTTTAGTACACTGAGGTATGTTCTCTCCATTCCCACTTTGATAAGAGTTTTTTTTTTAATCATATATGAGTACTGGATTTTATCAAATGCTTTATCTACATTTATTAATATGATTGTGTGTTTTATACATCATTTCATTTATATGGTGTATCACATTTATTGTTTTGTGGCTATTATATCAACTTGGCACCCTGGAATAAATCCCACTTGCTCATAGTATATGATCTTTTTGACTTATTGTTGTTTTTGGTTTGGTAACATTAGTTGAGAATTTTAAAATCTATGTTCATCAGTGATATTGGCCTATAATGTTTTTCCATTGTAATGTCTTTATTTGCTTTTGGGATTCAGATAATTCTGGCCTCGTAAAATGAGCTTAGGAGTCTTCCCTGATCTTGAACTTTTTGGAATAGTCTGAGAAGAATAAGTGTTAGTTCATCTTTGAATGTTTGGTAAAATTTACATGTAAATTCATTCAGTCCAGGACTTTGGTTTGTTGGGAGTTTTTTTATTACTACTTCAACTTCACTAGTTGCAGTCTGTCTATTCAGATTCTCTGATTCTTCCTAATTCAGTTTTGGAAGATTGTGTGTTGCTAGGAATTTATCCATTTCTTCCAGATTGTCCATTTTGTTGGAATGTTGTTGTTCATAATATTTTCTTACAATCCTTATGTTTTATTGGTGTCAAGTGTTAGTTCTCTTTCATTTTTTATTTTATTTATTTGGGTCTTCTCTTTTTTTTTTTCTAAATTAATTTTTATTTAATGCATTGTGATTATATTGTTTAAAAATTATGTAGGTTTGGGTATACATTTTATAATACATCATCTGTATATTGTATTGTATGTTCACCACCCCCCAAGTAACGTCTCTTTCCATCACCATTTATCCCTCATTTACCCTCTCCTGATCCCCTAATCCCCCTGTTCCTCTGGTAATTACCATACTGTTGTTTGTCTATGAGTGTTCCCCCCACCCCCTGCTTAATCCCTTACCAATTGCCCATCAGTAGATATGTGTGTGTGTATATATATATATATATATATATATATATATATATATATATAAAATATCTCTGGTACATTTGCACAATAGAATACTATTCAGCATAAAAAAGAAGGAAATCTTAATTTTTCCAACAGCTTGGATGGACCTGGACACTATTATGCTATGTTAAATGAGCCAGTCAGAGAAAGACACATACCATATGATTTCACATATATATAGAATCTAGTGAACAAAATAAATTATCTCTCTTTTTCTTGAAGAGTCTGGTTAAAAGTTTGTCAGTCTTGTTTAGCGTTTCAAAGAACCACTCTTGTTTTTCATGTATAGTCTTACCACTCTGAATGCACCTAATCTCATCTGATACCAGAAGTTAAGTAGAGTCGGACCTGGTTAGTACTTGGATCTTAGCTGAAACATTTTGAAAGATGAGTCCTTTTTCTACTATTTAAAGATATGGGTTGTGGCTTAAATTACTTCATGGAAAACACTGTATTTATGGTGACACTGATTTCCAAGGGACTAGCCCAGGGTCATTTGCCCAGTTATCACCTGCCAGTTGGTAGAAACAAATGCAAGAAAAAGCAACAGAAATCAAAGAGTATCAGGATTATTTCATTTTAAGCTCTAAAATATTCTAGGTTTTGATGTACATATAACTTTGAATATTTAAAAAATTTAATGGTTACTAAAATTTTTGTCTTTAAATTCAAGATGAAGCACAACTTTTGTCATTGTACACATTATTCTAAATGTATTGTATTTTGCTAGATGGAAGACGCTATTGAGGATATAATCAGTATGGAATCAAGTTTTAAAGAGGAAGGAACAGACTCTCCTCTGCTAATACAAAGAACAGTAAGTGTTCTTAAACAGTAAGTGTTCTTAAACAGTAAGTGTTTAGACCTGAGGAGGTCAATGAGATTTAAATAAATAAAAGCTTCTGATATACTAAAAACTGTCTTAGTACATAGTAAAATCACTTTCCTAATATCTTTTAAATTCAATTTATTAGGAAAAATAAAATGCTTTTATTCTTTTGTTGATTAGATCTTCCAAAGGATAATTTATTAGGAAAGAAGAATGAACATTACTTAAACTGTGCCCTGGAATGCTGCAGCCATTTCTGCACAATAGAATAGTTAATGAAATATTATTCAAATAGATAAACGTGTATAACATTATCCAAATTAACATATGTAAATATGATTTAACTAAGTGTGTGCAGTTTAGAATTTAAAAAACTCATTCAACAATTATATTTTCCATATAATAATATGGACACGGAATATGAACTTGTATTTATGTTTCCAAAATAAAATATCAAATAAAAAAGCTCAGTTATGTTTCCAAAATAAAATATTAAATAAAAAATCTTCTAATTATAAGAATAAATTTAAATTGCTTAGTAAATAGTGTTTTCTTTCAAATTTTTGAAACAGACCCAAAATAGCAGATAAATATTAGAAAATATTTCTTGGTGCATAAAAAAGATTATATAATATTATTGAGGAAGATATGTAATAAGGCTTTAACTATCCTGTCATCTACCTTTCTAATCTCTATAAACACTCACTTAATTATACATTTAATCTTCTATAGCATTTTCTATGAGTGATTCAGATTTTCTGTTTGAAGCTCAGCACATAATCAGACATTCTCATCAGCTCATGCCTGAATTTTGCTTAGTTTACCATGACTAACAGCTGTTACATTCAGATGCTCTGCACCTTGTAGAATAAAGAAAAAAAGATTATTAAAACAAAAAATATAACTTTACCCTGAGAGAATAACTAGAAGTTAAAGGTGGAGAAATAGTGGATCCCTAGCCGAAGGGGTCATAGAACTGCCCAGAGACCCTTGAGGAGAGACTGGAGACAGGATTAACTGGAGAGTCCCAGAGCTGACTTCTTCCTGTTTTCGTAGTCTCCATTTTGCGTGGGCAGGCAATGCCCCCAAAGAGCCAAAAGCAGGGAAAGCACACAATAGGAGACCCTAAACTGACCAGTGCCGGGACGCGTGCTGGGCCGCAGGCGAGTGCACGAGGTCAGGCGAGTAGGACATCTCCAGGCCAGGGCGTGGCTGCCCACCCGCCCAGGCTGGAGAGCCGGCCTGCCGGGGCACATGGGTGATCCTGCCCCGGCAGGCAAGCACACTCAAGTGAGCTACTATGAGAGTGCAGAGCGATCCACAGAAATAGTGGATCCCTGGCTGAAAGGGTCACAGAGCTGCTCAAAAGCAGGAGACAGGCATAGACAGTAGATTCCTGGAAGGCTCAAATGACCCAAGGTGAGATAGGGTCGACAACTGACATCATCAGAGGCAGACCAAGAAAGAAAAGTAAATATAAATAAATAAATAAATAAATAAATAAATAAATAAATAAAAAGAGCTGCCTACTACCATAGAAGTTTAATCCACAAAGTCAGGAAATCTAGACAGCCCAATTGAAGCAGAAGCAAAAACAAACAAACAAATAAATAAAAAATAAAGACTCTCACAAAAATGGGAAGAAAAAGAAGTTCCCCTAAAATGAGGGGAAAGGAGGAATCCCCACAGAGAGAGCTAAATGAAATAGAGGCAAGGGAACTATGAGATACTGAATTCAAAACAGTGGCTCTAAGGAAGCTCAATGAGCTCAGCCATCTCAAAGATAACTATGAGAAACTGTAGAGCAATATCAGGATCTTACAACAAACTATATCAACCTGGAAAAGGACATAGAAACTATCAGTAAGACACAAGAGGATATGAAGAATACCATTTCTGAATTGAAGAACACAGTAGAAAGAATCAAAAGCAGGCTAGATGAAGCCAAAGCCGAATCAGCGAGATGGAGGATAATGTAGAAAAAAGCTCCCAGAAAGAAGAAGAAACGGAAAAAGGACTCAGAAAGAATGAAGAGGCATTTAGGGAAATGCAGGACAACCTGAAATGCAATAATATCCACATAATAGGGATACAAGAAGGAGAAGAGGAGCAAGGGAGAGAGAACCTCTTTGAAAAAGTAATGACGGAAAATTTCCCCAATTTGAGGAGAGAAAAGGTCTCATGGATCCAGGAAGCAAAGAGGGCCCCATTCAAGAGTGACCTAATGAGGCCCACTCCAAGACACATCATCATTAAAATGGCAACCATTAACAAAGAGAGAATCCTAAACGCAGCAAGGGAGAAACAGGGTGTAACTTATAAGGGAGCCCTGATACGGTTAGGAGCTGACTTCTCAACAGAAATACTACAAGCCAGAAGGGAATGACAACAAATATTCCAAGTCATGAAAAGCAAGGGCCTACAACGAAGGCTGCTCTACCAAGCATGGATCTCAATTAAAATAGAAGGAGAAATAAGGAGTTTCCCAGATAAAAGAAGGCTAAAAGAATACGTCTCCACCAAACCAGCACTACAAGATATGCTAAAGGGACTGCTTTAGAGATGAAGAAAAAGAGTGACAAAAAGAAAAACACAGGTACAAAGAGAAGAGATAAAGATTTCTACCAGTAATAACTCTCAATGTAAATGGACTAAATGTTCCAATCAAAAGACACAGGATAGCTGAATGGATAAGAAAACATGACCCACACATATGCCCCACCTCAGAACAAAAGACCTACACAGATTGAAAGCAAAGGGATAGAAAAAAATATTCCAAGCCAATGGACAAGAGAAGACAGCAGTGTAGCAATACTTATATCAGACAGAATAGATTTCAAAACAAAGATCATAAAAAGAGACCCAGAGGGACACTTTATAATACTTAAAGGAAGAATCCATCAAGAAGACATAAACATTATAAACTTATATGCACCCAACATAGGAGAAGCCAAATATATAAGGAGAATCTTGGATGAGTTCAAAAAAGATATAGACAGCAACACACTGATAGTAGGGGATTTTAATACTGCATTGTCAAAAATGGACAGATCTTCAAAAAAAAACATCAACAAGGATATTGTGGAGCTGAATGACACACTGAATCAAATGGGCTTAACTGACGTATATAGAACCTTAGATCCTAAAGAGGCAAAATACACGTTTTTTTCACATGCTCATGGCAGTTTTTCAAAGATAGGTGACATGACAGGACACAAAGCAAGCCTCAGAAAATTCAGGAAAATTGAAATAATACCAAGCTTTTTCTTGACTACAAGGGCTTGTAGCTGGAAATCAACCTCAAAGAGAAACTTCAAAACCTTGCAAACTCATGGAGACTGAACAGTAGACTATTAAACAATGAGTGGATCAATAATGAGATAAGAGAAGAAATCAAAAGTTTCTGGAAACAAATGAAAATGAACAGACAACAGTCTAAAACCTATGGAACACAGCAAAGGCAATCCTGAGAGGGAAGTTCATAGCAACACAGGCTTACCTAAAAAAGATAGAAACATTTCAAATAAAAGACCTAAGGCTACAACTTGAAGAACTGGAGAAACAACAACTAATAAATCCCAGAGCAAGGAGAAGGAAGGAAATAGTCAAGATTAGAGCAGAACTGCATGACATAGAGTTGAAAAGAACAGTTCAGAAGATTAACCAATCCAGAAGCTGGTTCTCTGAAAAGATAAATAAAATCTACAAGCCTTTAAGCAGATTGATCAAGTAAAAAAGGGAGAGGATGCAAATAAATAATATCAGAAATGAAAGAGGAAAAATAACAACTGATACCACAGAAGTACAAAGGATTATAAGAATCTACTATGAACAATTATATGACAAGAAATTTGAAAATCTTGATGAAATGGACAAATTTCTAGTAAAGTATAATCTTCCAACACTGAGGAGGAAGAAACAGAAAGCTTGAACAGAACGGTAACAGCTGAGGAAATTGTAGCAGTCATCAAGAAACTCCCGGCACACAAAAGCCCTCGGCTGGACGGTTTCAAAGGAGAATTTTACAAAACATGTAAGGAAGAGCTAACCCTTTTTCTTCTCAGACTGTTCCAAAATATCTATGATGACAGAAGACTCTCAGACTCTTTTTATGAAGCCAGCATCACCCTAATCCCAAAACCAGATAAAGACCCTACAAAGAAAGAAAACTACAGGCTAATTTTGCTGATGAAATAGACAGTAAAATCCTCAACAAAATATTGGCAAACTGCATCCAGCAATACATTGAAAATATTATCCACCATGATCAAGTGGGATTCATCCCAGGCATGCAGGGATGGTTCAATATACGCAAATCAATAAACGTAATACATCACATAAATAAAAGGAAAGACAAAAACCACATGGTCATCTCGATAGATGCTGAAAAAGCATTCGATAAGGTACAGCACCCATTTATGATCAAAATGCTCAGCAAAATGGGAATAAATGGGGCATTCCTCAAAATAATAAAGGCCATATATGAAAAACTTACAGCCAACATCATACTCAACAGGCAAAAACTGATAGCTTTCCCACTAAGATCAGGAACATTTCAAGGATGTCCGCTTTCACCACTTCTTTTCAGCATTGTATTGGAAGTGCTAGCCACAGTGATCAGACAGGAAAAAGAAATAAAAGACATTCAAATAGAAAAGGAGGAAGTCAAACTATCCTTGTTTGCAAAAACATGATAGTGTACATAGAAAACCCTGTAGACTCCACCAAAAAGCTACTCAACCTAATAAGTGAATTTGGCAAAACAGCAGGATACAAAGTCAACATTCAGAAATCAAAGGCATTTTTGTACACCAACAATGCAATAGAAGAAGAAGAAATCAGAAAAAAAATACCATTCGATATAGCAAGAAGAAAAATAAAGTACCTAGGCATAAATTTAACTAAAGACGTAAAAGACCTGTACGTAGAAAACTATACAACATTGAAGAAAGACAGTAAGGACGACACAAATAAATGGGAGCATATAC